TTTCCAAAAGCAGATGTGCTCTTCTGGTATCCTAGAAACAGATCAAACTATGTTCCGTGGAAAGACTTGAAGTTCAAGCCAGTGATATCAAACAGGTCTTAATATGCAACCATACGAACATCCAGGACTGGAAATTTAAACAAAAGCTTGACTATTTCAGAGAAAATAATCGGATTGGGGGGGAGGGGCACTAAAAGGGATAGATAATTGTTTGGGGAGAGTAGGTATCAGAGAAATTAAGTAAAATTATGTTACTTCTATAGTAATATCAAGGCCAAGATCCATAATAAAGAACATTTATTTTGAATCAGACTAGTGAATGTCACTTAAAATTGTAAATAGCCTAATTACAACACACCTACAAAACAGGTTTCTAGACTGCAAAAGAGGATCATATCAACCACTGTGGGATTAGTTTTTTGTACACATAATAACTGTAGAAATTAAACTTTTATCATTTTATCACATCACAACAGCTATTGTTAAATAATCTACAAGTTAGAAAAGTAATTTCCAATTGTTCCTTGCGGTCTTCTAAGTAATGTCTTATATTTTGTGATACGCTATAAAATAAATTGTACTCCTGTGAGTCCTATCAGTCATGTTCTACACCCTGAAATCTGAAATTGCCCTCACTGAAGAAATAAGGGAAATGTATTCTATTATAGAAAGCACAGAGAATCAAATTAGAAATCACAAGAGGCCAGAAAACTCAATGGATCTCTCTTTTCTTTTAACTTTTAAATTTTAGTTACGTTTAATGATTGTGCTTTTTTAAAAGATTTTTTATTAGGGCCGGCCGAGTGGCGCGTTGGTTAAGAACTGGTTTGGGATGCCAGAGGGCCCCGGTTCGGATCCCACATATGAGAGCCAGTGACACTGCCCTCTACAGCTAAGATGCTGAACAACAGCTCAACCTGGAGCTGGGCTAACATGGGTTGCCAGCGATGGCGTAGGCTGCAGCCCCTGTGGCAGTGGGTTGCCATGGGCTACTGTGTGCAGCCGGCAGCCAGTGTGAGCAGCCAGCAGCCAGTGTGAGCAGCCAGCAGCCACTGTGAGCGGCCATCCAGAAGCCGGCGACTGATCTGCCTCACCCGGGAAGAGCGCAATGATGATGCCAACTTGGGCCAGTGAAGCAACATCCTCCACAACTAGACTGAAGAACAAAAAACAACAGCAACTTCTCTGTTCCCCTTCCCCCGATTCCCCAATAAAATCTTTTTTTTAAAAGATTTTTTATTAAATTATACCTACTCTACAATATTATATTAGTTTCAGGTGTACACCATAGTTATTCGACATTTATATACCAAAAGAAATAATCACCATGATAAGTCCAGCAACCATCTGACACCATACCACACTGTCACAATATTATTGACTATATTCCCTATGCTGTACATTACATCCCCATGATATTATTTGTTTTATACCTGGAAATTTTGAGCCTCTTATTCCCCTTCACCTTTCCCCCACTTTTATAAAATTTCCAACTACAGCTCTCATTCAATATTATTTTCTATTAATTTCAGGTGCACAGCATAGTGGTTAGACATTTATATAATTTAAGAAGTGATCTCCCTGATTAGTCTAGTACCCACCTGGCACCATACATATTTATTATCATATTATTGACTATATTCCCTATGCTTTACTTTACAACCCCATGACTATTCTGTAACTACCAATTTGTATTTCTTAATCCCTTCCCCCTTTTTCACCGTCCCCCAACCCCATCCCATTTATCACCCCAATAAATCCAGTACCCATCTGCAACCATGCATACCTATTGCAATATTATTGAATATATTCCTTATGCTATACTCTACATCCCCACGACTACTGTGTAACAACCAATTTGTACTTCTTAATCCCTTCTTTTTCTTCCACCCCTAATCCCCTTCCCATCTGGCAACCATCTAAACGTTCTCTGTATCTGTGAATTTGTTTCTGTTTCATTTGTTTGTTTATTTTGGTTTTTAGATTCCACTTACAAGTGAAATCGTATGACATTTGTCTTTCTCTATCTACTACACTCAGCACAATACCTTCTAGGTCCATCCATGTTGTTGCAGATGGCAAGATTTCATTCTTTTTTATGGCTGAGTAATATTTCATTGTATATATGTACCACCACCTCTTTATCCACTCATCAATTCAGGGACACCTGGGTTGCCTTCTTGCCTTGGCTATTGTAAATAATGCTGCAATGAACAACTAAACTACAGAACAACCATCATTGAGAATCACCTGAAGTCTAGCTGAAACAAAGTCCTACAACTAAAGACATACAGAAAAAGCCACCTAGAGGCTGGTAGGTGGTGCAGACATGCAGAACGGACTGGTCCCATAACTGCGTGCAACCATTCAAAATTAAGGAGATCGCGGCTGCGGAGGTCCCACCCTCCACTCCGGAGGATAAAGGGGTCCCAGCCCCCACCAGGCTCCCCAGGGTTCCAGTGCCGAGTAGAGGGGTTGTAATACTTATACCAGACAAAATAGACCTTAAAACAAAAGCTGTAACAAGAGACAAATTAGGACGTAGAAATCCTACTTCTGGGTATTTATCCAAAGAAACCCAAAATCTAATGTGGTTCTTAGGGGACGTAAGCACAGCGTTTGCCTACTCCACCATCTTGACTGGAAACAATCTCAATGTGTCTCATATTGGACTCTAAAAAAGCCACTCCCTATTCTCCAGCATAATCACTAATGCATGAAGGGTTGAGGGTTAGAATGGAGACACTCTACTGGAGGCTGAATAGAGGATGAATTGTCAGCCTTATGTCTTTAGTCCTACTTTACCCCAGGTCTTGCTCTCCGATTCTCTGAAACAGGGCATCTGCTTGGTGCCCTGATGCTGTCCCTTGACCTGTGGAAAGATATATGCTCCAGCTATATAGGAAACGCTGGGCTCAGGTGTGTGATAAAATCTGGCTCCCATTCTTTGCTCAGTCTCAAACCAGAACATCCCATGAGAGGCCGAGTGTAATAAAGGTAGGTGAAAACTCACTTGATGTATTCCCATCTACTCACATTTTCTGGACTCACCAAGCACATTCATTTCTCTGTGGCTTTTTTCATACAGTTGTCAGTATTTAGAAGACTTTCTGATCCCTGCCCCTTTGGATGTAGGAAGGAACGGAAATACTTCAGTGTGTGGAAGTCCAGGAAAGAGTTTGAAGAAGGAGTTCAACCATGTAAAGTAATCCTGAAGGCCAAAGAGGAACTCTGAGGAGCTCACTGGTGACTTCCCGGGAACTAATTTATAATGTAATTAATTAGCACTAAATACCAAGGCAAATATTTTTGGCGAACTAATAGTATAGAACAGGAAATCTATTGTACTTAAATTTGCCTAGGCTTTCTGGAAAAAGAGAATCATAGTGCAAAATTTTAGTGACTCATCAATGCCCTCACCACCTGTTTTGTGTGTTGTCTATAAAGATGGACTAGTTAAGTGGTGCCCTATCTACACAGGTCTCCTTGAATTCTGAGACTCAACTTGATAATGGGATAGGTTTTGCCAAGAGCAGATCGACCTACCCCCACATTTTCATTGCATTGGCATACTATATACATCTTTCAGCTTTCAGTGTGTTTATTACATCGTCACTGATGAAATGGGTAACAAATAAAGATAACATAATTCTTTCAAATTAGTATCTCGTTAATGGTTTGAAGGAAGTAGGCCAGCTGGGGTTAGATTGAGACACCACTGAACTAAATTTGAGACCTGGTAGAATGCAGTGGAAAAGGGACAAAATTACTTTTTTTTTAAAGATTTTCTTTTTTTTAATTGGGGAATTGGGGGAAGGGGAACAGACAAGTTGCTATTCTTTTGTTCTTCAGTCTAGTTGTGGAGGACGTTGCTTCACTGGCCCAAGTTGGCACCATCATTGTGCTCTTCCCCGGCAAGGCAGATTAGTCGCTGGCTTCTGGACGGCCGCTTACAGCAGCTGCTGGCCGCTCACGCTGGCTGCTGGCTACATACGGTAGCCCATGGCAACCCACCCAGCTCCAGGTTGAGCTGTTGTTCAGCATCTTAGCTGTAGAGGGCAGCATCACTGGCCCTCATATGTGGGATTCGAACCGGGGCCCTCTGGCGTCCCAAGCCAGCTCTTAACCAACGCGCCACACGGCCGGCCCCAAAATTACTTTTTAAAGGATTTGTCTAAACACACTGATCAAGAAAAATACTTAGACACTTGTCTGGAATGACACCATCATCTTATTAATTTCTGCAAACGGAGACTCTGTGGCTAGATTAAGTTAAAACCACCATCAAATAAATACCTGACCAGTATTCCTTGAGAGTGTCACGGTCATGGTAAAGAGGGGAAGACTGAGAAACGCTCACATACCAGAGGAGAGAGGGGAGATAGGATTCAAATAAAGGCACTGTGGTACCCTGAATTGGACACTGGAACAGAAAAAGTACGCTAATTAAAAAAGTGAAGTCTGAATAGTCTGAAGTTTAGTTAATATGACATACGTAAATGTCAGTTTCTTAGTTTTGAAAAATATACCATGGAAATATGATATTAACAGTGGGGAAAACTGGGTGAGGAATAATATGGGAACTCTCTGTACTACCTTTGTAAATTTTTTTTAAATATAAAATTATTTCAAAATAGAAAGTCTATTAAAAAGTAACAATAAAACCACTGTCAAAGACTGTTTGAATTAATATCCTAGAATTCAAAGATTTACATGTAATAATCAAACCTCACCCTCATCTTAAAATGCCCCTACTTATTAATATTCTCCTATCAATTGAATTCGTGTTTAAATACAACCTAGATTTTAAATCAAACACACCTGGTTGCTCCCTTCACACGCAGGACAACTTTGGAGTATCAATTAACATTTAGCTTGTGTCCTAAGTCCTTCTGTAACTAACTTCCCAAAGGCCCTGCAAGGTTTTCCAATGTAGATATATATTCTTAAAAAAAGAAAAGACAACACACACATTTTTCAAAGACAATGCTGTGACTTACAAGTGATGACATTTGAGCATTTTGGAGCATATACTGCATCTGCTGGGCAAACATGGCTGCAGCAGTCTTTTGTTGAATCAGATTGTTCCGTCCATTAATTTCCAGCTGCGTTTTTAAGTGTGGAGGAGGGTGAAGGTACTTGCAGTTCTCTCTAGCACACCGACCCTAAAAATGAAGAATTAGACAAATTTTCAATAATATTTCTAAAAATCTGGTATGACTAAGAATAAAACTATATTAAACAATCAAAAAATTTGAGGGAAAATGTTAAATAACTACATACACATAAATATATTTTATAAATTTTAGATCCGTTGTTCTGGACAATTTTGGCTCTAAAGTTATTCTTCCTGAATCCATACAATGTGAGAAACATCCTGAAACCCACTGAGATTCTGTTAATCAAAGAATAAATCCCTACACCTGGAAGACATGTTGTTCTTTAGGTTCCAGAGGCAATGGCCTTAGATCACTTGGATAATTTGGACTAAAGTGCATTTTGGGGACTCAGCAATTTTTAAGCACTTGCAAACTGGATAATATATCAGTCTGGTGGAATCAAACATGTGTTTGGTGTTGACTAATGTTGACATGGCTGCTAAGTATGCTGTTTACTATGTTGCACCAAAGGATGTCACTGCTCAGATAATTATCACATTGTCAAATGTAACCTGTTGTATTTAACTCATGAGCACTATGCAAAGCAGCTAATGATTCTCTCATTTGGGTTACTAGGTCCACCATAATCCTTTTAAGACAAGCACAGCTGCAAGCGATTCTTTTTCCCACAGATGCTAAGACTCTTTATGGTGCGTGAGCTTACTGGAGAGCAGGGTGGAGAAAAACAGACAATTTTTTTTGGACCCAAGAGTGCAAGTTGCTAGGCCACCTGAATTCCCAGGAGAAAATGAATTTGTTTTTCAAATGTTTTCAACACATGCTATGAATTTTCCTTATTTATGATTTCTAAAACTGTTTACAAAATCCCTTCTTCATATTTAGTTATCTTGTTATTAAAACATTCCTATAATTTCACTGAGAATCAAGGTGTCTCCTTCAAAATTTTATAGAGCTACATATAATGCAAAATCAGTAGTTGCATGGCAACTACTCTTTTAATAATAAGATCACTGGGATGAGGTGGCTCCAGTATTATACCTCCCCTGGCAAGAAGTTGGGTACAACTTAAAACATAGCTTGAGAAATTAAGGTTCAGCTATTGTTTTCTGTCAGGTTTAACCTTTTGTTTCTCCTACTAATCAATTTATTTTTAATCAAATTAAATGATTTATAAAGTCAAGTAATATCTTAGTTTCAGTGTACCTTTATATTTCTTTGCAAATCCTGGAATAGAAAGAATTTATTGGTAGTAAGAGTTGAGAACAGTATTAACCCAATCTTTCTGAATTCATAAAAGCAGCCTAAGAATAGCTACGTAATTTCAGCACATATAAGGGCTGTAAAGAAATTCTTATATGCACTAAAAATCACAATAATGGAGTTTCTTTTTAATACGCCTCCCAAGAGAAAAAATAAGCTTCTTTTTATACTTACCACAACCTGCGCCAAGGCAAAGATAGTCACAAGGATTTTGGTCCTCAGATTCTCCACCCTCCACCCAGCATAACTGAGGTCATCTGTCTCAGAATTAACAGCCCTGGGAAGCAGTGACACTTGGTGGCTTCCACAGCCAAGCACGCTAGTTTTAACTTTGGCATTTCTCTTCCTCTTCCCATACCCTAACATTAAAGAGTTCCCCAAAGTTCAGTCCTAAAACCTCTGCTCTCCTCTCCTCTTTTCCCTGAGAAATGAAATTCTTGCAAAATTTCATTTATCATAGCAATTGCTCAGTTCATAAATCTCTATCTCTACCTCTGACCCCTCCTCTGAATTTCTGTCCTTTTTATCACTAATGCAGTGGCATTTGGAAATCCTGCCCCCTAACCAGGTCTAAATAACTTACTCCTGGCTTTTCTTCTCTTTAGACTATTTTTCTTCTTCCTGCATGCTCACATTTAGGACCCTTGCTTCACTTGCCATACTTTGAGACAGTCACATAGCAGCAATGAAAAAAGAAATTAGGCACCTACTGAGCAGGATTGCCTTAGGATTAAAAGCCCTCCTTGATAGATTTTCCAAACAAGTGGCAAACACAACCACAGACATTGATACAGAACGCCATTTACAAACACCCTCCAAAAAAAAGTTGTATAATGAGGACTTTCTCTTATATTCAGAAATTCCAAACAACAGATCAGTTTAAAAAAAAAAGCAGGGGAATATATTAGGATTTTATTATTTGTTACAATTTAGAGTTTTACATTGAATGCAATCAGAGGTGGGGAGAAATGAAGGAAGGTAGAAACAAGGTATTTGGCACATTTCCTGCCAATCTACAGATACAGAATTACTACCTGCTTTTGTGCTTTTATATTCTAATTGTCCTTTACATATAATAACTTTTCTTAAGCTTTTTCCTGGGGAACTAAAGACATTTTTTACAAAGCAAAACAGTATACAAAAATAGGAAAAAAGAATTACACTTTAAAAATTACGTCAAGTTGGGCTTTAAAACTAAAGTGTGGAATATGAGGCTGTGTGAGATTTAAAAAAACTTATTCATCTTATTTATGAGAATTTATTTGATTCATAAAGCATTCCCTTGGGCCGGCCGAGTGGCGCAATGGTTAAGAACTCGCTTGGGATGCCAGAGGGCCCCGGTTCGGATCCCGCATATGAGGGCCAGTGACACTGCCCTCCACAGCTAAGATGCTGAACAACAGCTCAACCTGGAGCTGGGCTGCCGTGAGTCGCTGGCGACGGCGTAGGCTGTAGTCCCTGTGGCAGTGGGTTGCCATGGGCTACCGTGTGTAGCCAGCAGCCAGCGTGAGCGGCCAGCAGCCGCAGTGAGCGGCCGTCCAGAAGCCGGCGACTGATCTGCCTCTCCTGGGAAGAGCGCAATGATGGTGCCAACTTGGGCAAGTGAAGCAACGTCCTCCACAACTAGATTGAAGAACAAAACGACAGCAACTTGTCTGTTCCCCTTCCCCAATCCCCCAGCACTGTTCCCATCCCCCCAATTCCCCAATAAAAAATTTTTAAAAAAAAAAATTAAAAAAAAATAAATAAAGCATTCCCTTTTGAATGACAGAATCGATCATTTAATTCTATAACAATGCAGATGCATAGCAATACTAAGTTACCAGAGACTGCTGCTTATGTTAAAGAAAGCTTATAAAAGACAAAAATATTGCATTTTCTATCCAAACAACAGATGAGAAGACCAAATAATTTAATATCAATGCTATCTGTGGGACATCATGTTTCAAAAGAAAACCAAGCCCCCTTAAGATTTTTTCAAAACGAGTTTATAACTCATGATAATATATTTACATGCACAACACTTGGTAGTAATAAATCTCCTCTGTACGGTATTCATTCTTCAAGAGGCCCAAACTTAATTATACACCAAAATACCTTAATTGGAATGGGGGGGGGGCGGGCAGGCTTTTTTTGACAGTGGCTAACATTTGCTTTTAGTCCTGGTAGGGGATTAAGACTTTGGTAAGCATGTATGGATGGGATGTGGTAGAGGCTGGGAAGGGACTGCCCAGCACAATATGTAATCACTTATTGTGTTTGACCTCTGGAAAATCAATGACTAAGAATTAGAAAGTTTCCAATGTGTTTCTTAGGCTAGCTAAGCACTCTGAATGGGCCACAAAATACCCTGTCACACTGAGTATCACACAGTCCAGAAATGATCTTGGTCTGAAAAAAATCACCCCTCAGCTTTCCCAAGCCAAGTCAAAGGTGTCGCCAGCCCTCCTTTTAGACCCACAGGTTGAGAGTTGCGATGTGCTCGGTGCAAAGTATTAGACCATGTCATAAACGACTCTGCAAATGTACCCATGACAGTCACCATCCACTGGCAGAACTGGCTATATCTTAAAAACAGCAGCAAAGACCAGTAACGCCATATAAATCTCTTTCTCCCTCCCCTACATATACACACAGAATTAAAAGAAAGCATTGAAGAGATTAGAGCACAGACTCATTTGTACTTGCCTCGGTTTCACTCCTTTTCCATTTCCTTTGGCCTTTTGCTATGTGAGTTAAGAAAATAAAGTGATTAAATAGGAAAGTGAATCTCTGCCAAAATAAGTGCTACCATACCTACGAATCACCCAGCTCCCCTTTGCTACCTACTCTTTCTAAAAATGCACCCAAAAAGCCACAGGGGGAGAAAATGGTCAATGAAATTTCTAAAATACATCTGCATCAAAATGTTGATGACAAAGAAAAAAGTTGCAGAGCATTTATAAAACCTTCAAAATGCAATCAATTTCCTTTTTCCAAACTTCAGGCTTTTCACAAATGAGTACAAAGTATTGTGGAGATTCAAATCTCACCTAAGTCTTGGGAGCTATGAGAGTGAGAGTGTGTCAGAAGCAAGATTTTCCATGCACTTGGTGGTAGAAAAACCCTGTGAAATGTAGTCTTTTTATGTTCATGTGAGAAAGTTCTACCATCAGAATAAGGACGCTAGGAAGCTGAAAATTACCCTTTGTCAATCATTGTATCTTAACAGAAACAGCTGTTTGCAAAATGACTTGCTTCTTCAAATATTACATTTGGAATTATGCTAGACTACCAAGAGTTAAAAATTGAATGTTAAATAAAGGCAACAAACAGATGATTTGTTCTATGAAAAAAATGGCTTTTCCATTTTACTGATCATGTGTTAAATGAATATGCCCTGTTGATTATACTGCCCCACTGAAACATACTTACATGCATAGACATGGCCTCTCAGAAGAAGTAATAGCAATTTTAGAATTACAAATCATGTGTACTAGGTTGCCTGGTTCCTAAAACCATCACAGGCCTATTAAAGGCTAAGAACAATCTGAAAGAGCTAAGAGTGAGGTACATCAACATAAACTTGAGTATTAACTAGTCCGATGTCAGTATACTAATGGCACCTTCCCCACTTTCTTCCTCTTAGAGTTCTGTCTTTATAAAAATAGATATAATCGACATTATTTTCTCCTCCAATATTGTACCATCTATGAATATCGATATATATGCATGAAGAGCAACTTTAAAATCTTGCATACAAGTTTTCATTTGAATTTGGGATGCAGACTTTTAAAAAAAAGGTC